TGCGCTGCAGGAGATACGGCAACATGTTCATCGTTCGGAAAGCCAAGCCTGTTTGCAGCAAGAAGACCAGGACCATCTTGACCCAATCTAGAACAGTGTGGACACGCCAAGCAACAAGCTCCGAAGTAGACAAGGAAGTAAGATCCAATGTACTCTGTGGACCAGCCAGCGGTGCCAAGAGCACTGGTGCAAGTAGAATTATCCATGGTGCATTCAGCCGAGTGGCAAGCTCCACTTCTGCAAATGAACTTGACAAAGTTGATTGCACCACCTTGGTGAGGTACCCACGCACTTGCTCATTGAACTTTTCCTTCCACTTCACTAGACATCGGAGTTCTGGTATCAATCCAGATGGTGTTGAAAACCAACGCGTGGTCGCACTGGATCGTGCGCCCGGACAGATCCTTGTGGTCGTTGGAGCAGCAGTAGCACTCACATTGATCAATGTTGTAGGTACTCAGCTGGCTTGGTAAGGCCCGAATCGCAGTCATGAGGCTAGATGCATAGCTGAATAAGATCGTTCCTGTAATCATGCCTATGATGAAGAGTGTTTGAGTCTCCAGAAGCAAGATCCACGATGGTGGATTCGTGGGATCGCTCACGAGCTTTGGGAATGCATACTTCGTGATGACATAGGCAACTGCGCAGGAACCCCCATCGCACCACATGACAAAACACATGGTACCCAGGCTTGCTGGCATCAATCTCAGCAATTTCCCGCTGTCTTGTCGAAAGAAGGAGGCCAGCTCAAAAGAGCACCAAACACGAGAGAAGTACCTCGGCGACCACAGAATGGTGAGGGACTTGGAATTGTCGAGGAAATTCGACAGGCCAAGAATCCCTTGTTTTCTTTCCTGTGGTCATCGTGCTGTGAAATGCAGAGCCTGTCTAGAAATACCAGCTTGGGTCCGCAAAGCAATGCTCTGATTCGCTGCCAGAAGAAGAGTAGACCCACAAAGACGACGTACCCAGGAATGGCACACCACCAAGCCAGCCACGGAAACATCATCGCCGGAACCATGCACACGCAACAAGTGAAACATGAAGCCACGGCTGCAGCTCGAGAATTGAAGAGTACCAGCATGGTCAAGAGCTTCTGCCAGCGAGATGTACCCTAATCATGGCTGAGGAAAGTATCCATGTGCCTTCCCTTGAGTGGTTTGCTCAAGGCAAAGAGCGCCTCATTCTTAGCATGTCGATGTCGAGGCTCCCAATGCTTTCCGAAGCCACTGAGGCATGTGCCCAAAGGCACAGCTCTCAGTAAGTCTTCGTCCAGATCTGGAGGTGGAGCGATGCCATGAGGACCATCTTCGCATGCTTGAGCCAAGCTGAGCCAAGCTCAGAAACGCCTAAGGAGTCTAAGGCCGAGAAGTACCATCTAGAGTAAACTAACAGAACTATGGACAAGCACCATGTTTCATGAATCAACATCATCAGCATTCATCAACCGCAAATGGCAAATTTCAATAGCTATGTAACAAATTACAAGTTGGTAAGTCATTGAATAACCGCTCTAAAAAAAAAACCTGGCCACGAGCATCGACTTCGTGATGTCAACCTCATCACAAACACCATGAAAAAACATACAACTCAGAACCATCATGGATCAAACCATCATAAAACCATCATAAAAAACCATCATAAAAACCATGATAAAACAACCATTAAATACTATCAGAGAGCCATTATGGTGAAAGTCGATCAGCTGAATCCCCTCCCCTTCAACGCTTCTTCGGCGATCCCCGCGGAGAACCTGCGCGGCATGACCCAGCACTGCACAAAGCGCAGCGGCTCCCCGTGCAGGTTGTGCTCGCTGTGGCGGATGCCGCGGCCCGCGGTCATGAACCTGATGGCCCCAGTCGAGCGCTGGTGGTTTTCCGGGTAAACCGGCTCATGGGATGACTGGTTGGTGGTATACCAACCATGGTAAACATACAAGAAACTATGGAAAATCACCATTTTTAATGGGAAAACTCACTATAAATAGCCATTTTCAATAGCAAACTGTTAGTTTACCAGAGGGTAACCATCTTGAAAAATGATGGAGTTCGTCAATGGGAAGGATGACATCCCATAAATTATATGGAAAATAAAACATGTTCCAAACCACCAACCAGATGACATTATAGCAATCCCCACCAAAAAAGGATACAGAAAGTAACATCCCACTAACCATATCATCATTATAAACATACTAAAACGCATTTTTGTGCAACAATATGCGACAATCGGTTTCACATATTCCACTTATTAAGTTGGACTATCCTCCAAGTGGGACAAATGGAATTCCGCTTGGTTAGTAAATATTCCAATTATGTCTAATTATATAGCTTAATCATTGTCAATTATCTTTTCAAGCAGGTAGGTTCGTGACCACTAAATACCCGATCAAGAAGGGTAGTTTGAATGATTTGAATGGCTCAAATGCGCCACACATGATATCAGATGGGTTTATGCACAACCCAACAACACACGGATAAAGATGGAGGATAAGCCTGGACACAACCCTGTCATGTCTGGGTCAACCTTGCTGAAGGGCAGCTTAACAGTCAAGATGTTCAGCAAATTTCAACCCAATTGGTCTTTCTGTTGCTGCACCCAACACATCCCAACATATCCCAACACATTTCAGGATACACATCTATATGCCCAAATGACAAATTTATGCTAATGGCTCACTGGTTGGCGGTTGGCCTACCCCTCTGAAAAATATGAGTTCGTCAGTTGTTCACCTTCTTCCCAACTGAATGGAATGCCATAAAATATATAAAATTCCATGGTTCCAAACACTTCCAAACCACCAAGCAGCTCAAAATCAACCATCCATACAATGTGGGGCCCCCAAGATAGCTAAGTTGGTTTATAAACCCCATGAATACCATAGTTATCTAGTTCGTTATATCTACCATAAACCATAGTTAATTCAGCCATTTATAAACCAACTTTTTACTATGGAAAATCACCATGTTTAAAGGATAAATATGGAAAATCAACTATAAATGGCCATTTTCACTATCGAAGGGGCCCCATCCTGTCCCCATCCAACCGTTGTGTTTAACGATCACCGGTTAGATCACCAAGGCGCTGCACTCCGCCCCGGCCCAGCGTCTCTTCAGTGCCCATGGAGTCCTGGCGCTCCAGGCGCCCCAGGCCTTAGGGACTTTTGATATATAATGGGAGATAATGGAACTATAAGTGGGTGAATTCTATGGTTTATGGTGGATATAACTATAGTTAATGGGAAATGCCCTCTGGTAAACTAACATAGCTATTGAAAATGATGATTTATAGGGGATGTTCCCATTAAATATGGTGAGTTTCCAAAGTTATGTGACAGTTTACCAGAGGGTAACCAACAACAATAATGGTGATGTCATGCGATTTCGATGGGGTTTTAAGTTTTTTCTCGCTAGGTTGGCGAACATATGACTATATAGTAAGGCTTTATGGTAGATACGGACCACCTTGTAGGAGAATCAGGGCGTAACCTAGGCTAAACAAACCAAAACATGTGGAAAACCCATGGTTTTTTCCATGGAAAATGATATACAAATGGTGGGTAAACTCCACATCGAACTGTTGGTTTACCATATGAAAGTCAAACTTTGGCATTTTTGTTCTTGGAAAGCAATGAGCACAACTTTTGGGGGTTGATATACTCACATGGTGATGTATATTTCTTGACAAAGAATTACCCAACAAAAAGTATCCTAAACCGTATATACACTATCCAAAATGTGGTTGCATCCAACTAATATCTATGTCTTACAGGAATGCATGCGTATAGATATTTATTAAATTTTGCGTATGTACACACATATTATATGTATATGGTTTCAACTAACACATGTAAGGGTATTAATCCGCGCATTGGAGCACGCAGTGGGGCCGCACACGCTGATGTTTGTTTGTTCTCACTCATGTCTGATTCTCTTAAACATTAAAAGTCATCAACAACTGTAGGGTGGTGCCCCATAGTTAGCTAAGTTGGTTTGTAGCTCCAATTACTTGAGTTTACTTGGGTTTGTGGTATAAATATAAATATGATCTCATTGGTATACCTCTATATGTAATCACATATACACATAATATATACCCTCTGGTTATTTAACATAACCATGGAAAATGGTCCATTTATAGATGGTTTACTTATTAAAAATGGTGATCTCCCATGGCTATGTTAAATAACCAGATGGTAATATACAGTAATATATATATATATATGTAAATACAAGTCAAATGCATTTTCCATTTAGAGATGGTAATAACATCGGGGCACCTCTGTCAACACATGTTCCAGACACACAAAACAGCCCTCATTTCGTAGCCGACCTCCCGTTCCAAGTCCGTGGCAGTCCTTGTGGGTCAAACGGCCATGGATGATGAAGGTCATAATCTCCATGTCCCGATGTGGATGGGTACCTCATGGGGCTTCAAATGTGAACTATGGGTTACTATGGGTTACCAGTTTCAAACACCAAACCTTGGAAAATCTTGGAATCTTGGATGTGAAAAATGTGAAAGCCTGGATTAGCAGCATATATGGACTTTCTGTTCAGTCTTAACTATTCCGGATTTGAGTTGTTTGGAGTTTTTTCGAGCATCCACCCGGAAGAATATGGTACTTTTTGGGGAGCATCATGGAGCATCGGCTAGACATAGATTCCCGGAACGAAACTTGGGCCTCAAAGACCGGTTGACCAATGGGGATTGAGGTGGGCATTCCTATATGGTTCACATGAAAATAGCTGGTAGTTCTCAATGTTCAACCCCCCCAAACAATGGTAGTTCTCGGTGCTGATCCCTCCCCGTATATATAATGCATCTATCCATATTATCAAAAACAAATCTCTTCGGCTTCATCGGCCGTGTGCAGTCCTTCTAGGCACCAGAACCCAAATTTTTCGCGCAGGCCCGGGTGCCGAAGCCACGCTTGGGCTGTACCAGGTCGTCGTTCATCACGCGCAGCACGCCAAACTGCCCGGGGCCGTTGTGGTACTCCGCGAAGTTGAAATGGAAGCGCGATTTCAACCAGTTCCGGTTCCTGGAGTTAGCGAATGTCAGGAACTCCATGGATTTGTTGGGAAAATCTGGAAAAACATGTTTTTTCCCATGGTCAAAACAGGGTTTCCTGTTCCCACCAATCCAATGAGGAACTTTGTGGTGCCCAGGTGCCGGTCGTCTGGGTTCATTTTGGACTTAGTCCCTGAAGCCAGAAGTAGAATGATGGAACGATGATACTCATTACAGACCCCCAATTTCACTAAACTAACAAACATCCGCTCTATACACAGCACTTCCAATTTTCGAGCTGTCACCTCAGGTTGTCTTAATGTGTTTTGGAGCCTCCAAATCGACCCAGTCGCCCAATATACCTCCAAGCATCGACCAGGTCTCACCCTCCCAAGAGCTCTTGGAAGGATTGGGGCCGTTGCCGAACATCTGCGGCCCAGGTTCACTCACAAAGAGCTGCCTGTGCCGCCGCAGGGAGAAGAAAAAACTAGGGAGGAAGAACGCCGTTTCTCACCCGCTCGGGGATTTCGGAAGCATAACTCATCATTTCCAATGGTTAACCTCTGATAAATCATCATATACAATAAGTTTGACAATCAGTATTATATATAAAATATATATAATATCATTACTGGTTGGTGGTTTCAACTCCTCTGAAAAATATGAAAGTCAGTTGGGATGATGAAATTCCCAATATATGGAAAAATGTTCCAAACCACCAACCATTAATCCATTAAAACATATATAATATTATACACTAAGTTATACACTAAGATCATTATAAAAGGATATATATATATATAAACATGATCGACTAAAATTATATCATATTATACCCTCTGGTAAACTAACATAGCTATGTAAATCAACTATTTCGACTGGGCCATTTTCAAGTTCGCAAACTGTTAGTTTACCAGAGCTCATGGATCATCAAGGAGTCAATGGTGGACACCTTGGATGTCCTGGAACATCCCACCGTGTCACCATGTTCTTGGGTTAAACATGTTTAAAATCTCATTAAACCACCATGACTTTCCCTTAAATCCACATTGAAACCCATGAAATCACCACTAAATCCCAACCAACTCCTCATTGAACCCCATAAAAACCCATGAAATCAACACACAATTCCAACTAAATCCCATGAAATCACCATTTTGACCCATTAACTCATGGCGCGCCGTGTCGGGAAACCCGGCCTTTCTTCAATGACCCGGACGCTGCCTGCACTGGACACACCGGAGGCCTAGGCGCCAAGAACGATCCCAACAAATTGGGGATTCACATGCGGTTATCCCTCTGATCATTTAACATAGCTATGAAAAATGGATAGTTAATCATCTATATCTATATATATATAATATGTAATATATATCTAATATATTATCTCTATATATATATATGTGTGTGATTTACCGATTTAGCTATTGTAAAGATGGCGATTTTTTCAATTTAACATGAACAAAAAGAATCAAACAGGCATGTCAATGTGTAAATGATTGCTCATAAGCATTTTTACCATGCAAAAATTCGGGTTTCATATGGCCCACATACCAACCATCATCGAAATCATCCCAACATATCCCAACACTGTTTCAGCTCATAGCACAGGGACACTTCGAGTGCCTGCAGGACTCACAGCAGCTACCTGACGCCAACTCTTTTTGCTTCAATCCATGTCGAAATGGAGAAGTCTCACTGCCCTGACAAAACACTACAAAAAGATATTTACGGTAAACCAGGTAAACAGTAAACTCAACAAACCATAGCTGCTCTACAACTTGAGGCTTTGCAGACCAGAAAACTTTAGTTTGATTGTTGGGTCTTACCACACATCCCTGGTGATCGATCGGAGTAGAGAATCCGGCACCGATGGGAACATGATCCCTGAAGCGGATAAAGGGAATGAGCAATTACCCTCCAGTAAATTAACATGGACTAGTGGAACACTATAAATTGGTCATTTTCAGGGTCTATGTTAATTTACCAGAGGGTAACATCCATATTTGGTTGGTAATTCTATGGTTATGTTCTGGATTACCCGGCCTGGTATACAAACAACTATATGGAAATCGATCACCTTTAGCAGGTAAAATACTTATATAAGATTATATAAGTATAAGTATTTCTATGGGCCATTTTCAATAGCAAACGGTTAGTTTACCAGAGGGAATCTACTATGGTTTATCATCTCCGCTATTGTTATCATATCTAGAGATGTTAGATGTGTTAGTTTAACCGTTACCCTCTGGTAAACTAACATAGCTATTGAAAATGGTGATTCATAGTGGATTTAGCCATTAAAAAATGTGATTTTCCATCGTTATGTTAGTTTACCAGAGGCTAGCCATACTGATCCGCTAGATGTTCAATAGCAAACTGTTCGTTTACCGGAGGCGATGCGTGACATGACCTTTTTCATCTTGGTTTACTCCATCAGAATCCCACTTTGTTCCATTGATTTTCAGTGAACAATGCCTCAATGGATTGGTTTGTTGGGAAAAATCTTAACCGGAAAACTTATCGATTTTCACATAAAATATAGGGTTTTCTGGTAAATGTTCTCTTAAATCGATCCATTGATAGTTACACATAGTTATCAACTGGTGCAGGATTTCGCTACCACCGACAGGGGGCGAGATGCCCTTGGCCTGGCCTTGTCCTCTTTCGGCGCGGGCCCCGGGCACAAGCAGCTCAACATGGCCGGCAAACGACACGAGCAACGGATCTTGAGCATGCAGGAGCTCAAATAGAATGAGATAATATGGAATGGATTGGTTTAAGGGAAATTTACAGGAAAACCCCATAATTATACAATGGGAAAATCTATGGTTTCCTGTAGGTTGTCCCTTAAACCAATCCATTGAAATATGGAATATGGAAAAATAGGAGTTAACTTCATTCATTGATTTAATTGCACAATCAACTATAACAGGGAACAATAAGGATGATATAGGGATAATGGGGATTAATCAACAACACTGGAATATCTGGAATTCATATGGGATTATGACTGGTTGGTGGTTTCAGCCCCTCTGAAAAATATGAGTTCGTCAGTTGGGATGATTATTCCCAATATATGGAAAAATAAGAGACGTTCCAAACCACCAACCAGTTAATTCATGTTGTAAAATTACACACAAGCGCCCATAAATATATGCTGGATCGACCTGCGAATAAGTTGGAAAATTCACTGGAAAACTGACTTATTTGTTTTTTTGGTATTACATAAAAACAAACTTTTAAATCCCAAATTCCAAATAAATCAAATTATACCAATGGGTTTTCCATTAAAAAAGACAACTGTTTAATGGGAAAAGAGTATGACAGAATGGGACATAGTTAAACTACAAGAGATGGCTTGGTCAGATTTCGCTCTGAAACATGGGCTGGTCAGTCAGCTTCCCAGGAAATCCGAACATCAATGGATTGGTTTTCAAGGGAAAAATTACAGGAAAGCCCCATGATCTTCATGGGAAAATCGATGGTTTCCTGTAGATTTTCCCTTAAGCCAATCCATTGAGAACAGCCCATCTGGGATCACAAAAAGCATAGGAAATCCCTCGACAACTGCGAACGAAAGTTTCCACGACTTCAAGGATCCTTCAAGGTGCCGAGAAGTGGCTAGTTCCGAGACCCGAGTTGTGACCCTGAAGAGCCAGGAAAGAAATTGGTGCACCCGGCCTGGTAAACGTTTACAGTTTGCGAACTTGAAAATGGCCATAGAAATAGTGAATTTTCCCATTCAACATGGTGATTTTCCATATAGTATGTTTACCAAAGGGTAATGTAATTATAGCATATAGTAACTGGTTGGTGGTTTTAACCATCTTGAAAATATGAGTCAGTTGGGGTAATTATTCCATATATTATGGAAAAATAAAAAATGTTCCAAACGACCAACCAGGTAATGGGTCAATGTTTTTGTCAACATTGACAACCTACCAAATCGCTCTCGGTTGTACGGGTGAATCATCCATTGCAAGCTTCATTTTTTGCTCATGTTCAGCTGCTTCTGGGAGTACATCTATAAGTAATTACCCACATACACACACACACACATATATATATATATGCTCTATATTAATGTATAACATATATTCATAATGATTGGGATCCAAAGCCAACTTTTATGGGTGGTAAAATATCACTCATGGTTAATCCGTGAGTGAAAAAGCGCCTTATCCAATGATCCCCAGTCGGAAAGCCCCGGCTCGCCTGGGAGTAAAAGTATTTGGGCCTGGGAAAGGCTGAGATCACCTGGAATCCACCCTTAAGGCGATTGGTGAACATAACTCAACAATAAAATATAGTAAGTACCGTAGTACCCTTTGGTGATGATTTACCTATTAAAAATGGTGATTTTCCATAGCTACGTTAAATAATCAAAGGGTATATTAAGTGCTGGATGTTGCTGGCATCTATAAACCAACTTGTAACTGGCTGATTGTTTCAACCACCCTAACAAATTGCGGATCCCGACTTGGGAGCAAATCCAGAGGCTGAGATCCCAAACATCATTTTCCATCACCTATGGCTTAACAGAACATTCACAAACACCACATTTTATATCCATTCATACCGCCAGTTCTTGTATCCATCAATGGCTTAACACCACATGTTCATACATTTTCCATCACCTATGGCTTAACAATGCTTAACCTCACATTTTCAATCACCTATGGCTTAACACCACATGTTATATCCATTAACAAACCCAAGTTGGGCCGAGATTTTGATGCTTGCCTCTGGGGAGCCCCCGCCACAGGATGAACCTGCCAAATCTGCGACAGGATGGCCTCGGCCAGCTGCGGCTATGGGAGAAACATCGATGATGCTACGGTACTAACCCATAGGATCCATGTATGGTATATGCTAACATGACTGGGGTATATTGATCTGCAAAATTTACTTTAAATTCAAAACGATTTCCTCGTCTTAAATCTACTTTTCCCCTCTGATTAAATCTTCAGTCCTCGCCTCGTTACATTCAAAACGGATTTCAGCCCTCGTCCCATTTCTTTCTCGGCCGCAAGCCATTCGAACTAGTCCTCTGCCTCCTTTTGGGTTGAACTTTTTTGAATTATCTTTGTCGTCGTTGCAGCAACGCTCTGGGCTCCAGAGGCTTGGGGATGCTGAAAAAACTTTTCAGGGCCTAAAAAGTTTTTTCCTGTTTCCGAGATGCCTCTTTTACAAGCGGATTTGCAGGGGCTCGATTCCCCCCAAATTCGACCCCAGAGAAGAGAAGCTGCAGCAGCAGCACCAAGATACCCCGCTACACCTCAAGCTTTAGCAATTTTAGAATCTAGTCGCGCTACCTGGGAAAGGTGAATAAGAACTATTGACCAAAATTTCAGGGTTCCCTAGGGTTCTTATTTCAATTAGCTGGTAGACAGAGTTGAATCCAGCAATCCAGCCCCTGAGGTTCTTAATGCAGTGGGTTCTTAAACAGTGGTTTCACTGTAGAACAAATACGGAAGTCCTGGAACAACCGGGCATGCCACCACAGGGCACTGACTGAATTACGATTAAAAAAAACTTTTCGGGCTCCAGAAAGTTTTTTTTTTTTCACGGGTCTGAATGCACCCTTAATTTTCTATTTTTTCACTCTGATGGGAACAAAAAAAAACTTTCTGGAGCCCGAAAAGTTGTTTTTCACTCGTTGCACATGCTTTGAAAGCAATTTCTGCCCACCTCGTTTTCTGAATTTAATTAATTCACCTCGCTTAAATTGCAAAGATTCACCTCGTACCTCGTCAGCCCTCGCTCTAAATTGTGCAGATTGATGGGATCCATGTTACCATATATAGCATACACGGATCCTATGGTACTAAGGTAGACTAGTCACTAGTCGAGTTGAAGATGTCTTTTCGCGATAGTTTCGAAATTTGGTGATCGAAAATCGAAATAGCATCAGGGTAGACCTCTTCAAAAACAATTGGAGAATGGAACACCACAATATGAGGACATGAATGTTGAGGTATTTGGATGCATTTGGGTTTTCACCTGTGGTAATCAAACATCAGCTGCTATAAATCAGTGATAAATGGAAGTGTTTGCAAGGTTTTGCATTGCCACGTTATAGATTGCCACCGGAATGCGCGTATCTCATCACAATCTTCCCCGGAACGCTACGCAGGCTATGCAGGCGGCGTAGCTGCCGAACCAAGCGGCGAAGGCTTCCACGGACGTGGCCATGGAAGAATAGAAGAGGAAGAGATAGAAGAACTTGTGGTTCTTATAGCCAATGCCTCAATGGTTCTAGATGGTTCCAAATGGCAGGTTGAAACCTACATTATGATTTGATATGATTTAATTCGAATAATGAATCTATTTGAGCAACAATATCATTTGCATGCCAAATAACTATAACTATGGGAAAACACGATCAAACTTTGAAAATCATCAAGCTAACCCATGGCTTCCAGCGATTTCCAAGACGCAATTGGACATGAAAGCGCAATAATGATCCATCCTGGGGGCCCGTCAAATGAACTCGTCCCTTGGGTCCCTTCAGAAACCAACTGGATGAAGCTGGTGAATAGATGACTGGTTGGTGGTTGAGCCCTACCCCTCTGAAAAAAAATGAGTGAAAGTCAGTTGGGATGATGACATTCCCAATCTATGGAAAGTCATAAAATTCATGTTCCAAACCACCAACCAGTATACCTATCCCATATGCTCCATGTATAGTATATTTACCTACATTTGGGCCATTTATGGGGTAAATGATGGTAAATATTCCATACATGGAGCATATGGGTATACATCAGGCTCATTGGCGATTCTATCACTGAGCATGGTGAGGCCATGCCAAGTCCACTCCAACTCAGGCTCAACTTTCAGAAACGTGGGCACTATACCAACACATGCTTGCGCTTGGTGCTTCGTTGAATTTCGTTGAGCACATCCCCATTGTTCTTGGTGATCTCAGTGATCTCCCTTCCCAGAATTCCCAAAAAGTGAGACCCCTATTTCTGAAATAGTCAATCTCCACATTTTTGCCATGGCCATCTGGCCGAAAGGACTCAAAGACCGTCTCCCAAGGCCCGGCCCTGTCCTCAAGATGTATCTGTCCATTTGCCGGCAGAAATGCGAGCGTTTCGGCTTGAATTTCTGCTCCTGAACCCAGGTGATGAAAAACAACCCGGCAAAAATAGGGACATCTGGGGTTCCTTAGGCGTGATTTCTGAAAACCATCATTTTCATCATTTTCTCAGGTGCTTTTCCTGTAGATGAGCAAATATCAAGAAAACTTCAAAGAGACTCCTTGGATATCCTTAGATCCTTGGATGGTCATCTATCCTCGTGGGTGTTACGAATTACTTAGTAAACTAGCTTACTCAGTCCCCAGACTGGGGTTATCTCATTCGTCTTACTTGTCCGGGGAACCCAACATAATATCCGGCTGAAACAAGAGTTTGGGAGAGTTACCCTTACTAAGCACAACTTCTAGTGACGCCGTGGTTCTAATCCAGCCCATATTCTATGGATAAAATGTACATATTAGAGTACCGTGTTTGAAAAGTAACATCCTACCAAATCCTATCAAAAAGGTGATAATTGATACGTTTTGTTTATATATGTATATATATAATCTGCTTGGGGGTTCAACTGCCCTTCGCCCCAACCTTGGTAATAAGGATCAGTCCCCGAGGACCATTACCTGCAGCGGGAAAAGGATCAAATCTGTTCCGAATGATTTTTGGGTTGAACAAACGCCACTTCGAAATGCATTTTTTGCGTGGTTTGTTCAACCAGAAAATGGAAGTTCCATGCATTTTTTGGGGCAAAGCTGATGGATGAAGGCTTGCTACGGTTGTGGGGCCAACCTGTCTTGATCTTCTGTGCCTTCCAGCCTAGTTTGATGGTTTATCCGTTTAAACCGTCCATTCATGGTAAACTTGGGGATGATTTACTATTGTTTTATTAGCATTACATTTGTTCCACATTACCCTCTGGTAAACTAACATAACTATGGAAAATCACCATTTTTAATGGGAAAACCCTCTATAAATGGCCATGTTCAATAGCTATGTTAAATTACCAGAGGGTACTCGTGTATTAACCAAAGAATCTTGTTCCACACCAATTTCGCCATTGACTTCCCAACAACATGCCCAGTGTAGGTGCTTGCAAAAAAAAAAACTACCGATTTATGGGGAAAAAATGCACAATCCAATGCATCCATTCCCCCGAAACAAAGATCCCCAAATCAAAAAATCGTGTTTTTTTCGCATTGGGTTTGTTGATTCTAGGGCTATGACTGTCATAGGATGGGATTAGCACATACCAATTCAGGGCAAAAGATTGAAGCTGGTTGGTGGTTGACCTACCCCTCTGAACAATATCTGAGTGAGTTGGTCAGTTGGGATGATGACATTCCATTCCCAATTAATGTGGAAAGTCATAAAATTCCATGGTTCCAAAGCACCAACCGGTTGAAGTATGGTTTGGGAAAAAAAAATCGAAGCTCCCTGTCTTCTCATTGGTGATAATCCATGCTAATCCCAGCATCAAGTCATATGGGCCCCACAGATCAACAAATCCGGTGCTAAATTCACAAACCTAGCTGCTTGGGACCAGGGCCAGTTCGTTGATGTCAGCTTCCTGACAGCACATCGTAAAGAATCACCACCATTTATTTAATAAATTGATCGTTCCAAACAACAACATAAGATAAGTGAACTTGGAAAACTTGGTGTTGTTTATTTCTACTGGGTGTAAGTTTTATATGGTTGAGTCACAGATTAGTGATCCATTCTTTCATAGCTACGCCATGCTACACCATCAGCATCGGGCCCAATTGTAGCATGTTAAAGGCACGTTCAGCAAGGCACGTTGTTTGGATTCATTAGCCAGAAAATGTGATATTCCTCCATATTACGGGTGAGAATCGTGAATACTACTACCTGCTAATGAATAAAGTCCTAGCAAGGTGGCGTATATTGTATACTGTATATATATATATAAATGGTATACAATATAATCAATATATGTATATATTCCCATTGAAATGTAAGAAAAAACAATGCACACATATGAACACCCACGCTTCACCAGTCGGACTATTCCTCCTGAATTGGCCCTCCAACCCAGGTTTTTGGAAAATGTTGAAATCGTTAAACGCCAAACAGAGTTTTCCTAAACATGGGGTACTTCCAAAAATACTGTAGTCCCATCGAAATTTGGATAAAGTGAGGTATGTTTCATTTGTGAAATATAACTCAATAAAAAACTATAACTCTATATTAAGCCGGAAAATCCGGAAATTAATCAACCTAGTTATTCCCAACTTGGCTAACTATGGGCTGCCTCCAAGGTTTACATAATCCTCTTGACTCTTGACCCTTCCTGAAGTTTCGAAGTGTATGGCAAGAAACTAATTCAACATAATCCAAAATCTAATAATTTCAATCCATTCCCAGCTCATGGATTGCAATATGTTCCAATAATCCCCAATACACAGGGGATAGTAATAGATAGTATAACCCCCTGAGATGAAAAAAAACATCAATCAGAGCTTGAACACAGCCATTGCTCATTTCACTAGGGTTATCTTTACCCACCAGGACTCGCTCATCTTTCCCAGGGCCCAAGTGAATCCAAGTACCACAACTTCACCAGGACGAAAAAAAAAAAGGAGCTTTCGAGTCCATGGGGGCACCCCAAATCATCCAAATCATCCAAATCATTAGATCAGTTTAGTACCCAGATGCGAAGCATGGTGCTGGTATATTTAACTACAAAACTGGGTGATTTTGGACAAGGGCAAATGTTGGTGTGCATATTCCAGCACCATGGTTTGCATCAGTTCAGTATAGCTTAACCATGCTTAATCCCCCAATTTTCAAAAATCATCCAGATCATTAGATCAGTTTAGTATAGCTTAACCTATGGTTAACCTATGGTGACTTAAAGATCCCCCCAGGGCTGACTTAAGAAATCTTAAGAAAGCCCCAACTGACCAGGACCAGTTTCAAAGCGTGGTCGTCCATTGTCATCACGAGCAAAGGACTCGGGAATTGCGCCGGGATCTGTGGTCACCGTGCCTGGCCGCTGACAAAATGCGGCGCAGCCTTGGCCTGGGATGTCTCGTAGAATGGTTAAAAATCACCAATTTTCTTGGGATATTCATGGTTCTTAATGGATCTTAATAGGCATTAATGGTTCTTAATGGATCTTAATGGTTCTCAACTTCCAGGTGAGTGTTATAGGAAACCAGGACACAACGGTTATGTCTACCTCATCCCCTTCGTGCGGTCTATTCCAGCCCGTGACGTTACCCCTCTGCGACTTGATCTATCCATGGCTCCACGGCTCAAAAGGGGCTGACCAGTGAACTTTTCCATGGTTAAAGGCCCTTTGAGGTTCAACGGGCTGCTTTCAGGTAACCCTGTCCCTGGTTAACAAAAGGTAGTTTAGTATTGAGAATTGAGAATATCATTTTTTTTCGCAATCAACATAAACATATCAATAGTGGGCTTGACCCCGACAGCCCAGCTATACAGTGCGGAAGTGAGTTCCCTGAGCAAAATTGCCAAACAATGATCCAATCACTACATATCACTACCCTACTCATTCACCAAATGTTTGACTTTCAAGCTTCAACATGGAAGACACAATCCACGCCATGTTTTCCTTCCAGGCCCATTTTCATGTTATATGATATATGTTAATATAATATTTAAATTTCGGGCCAGGCCATACAATGTGTATATTTAACATGGAGAACATCTTCTGGTTGGTGGTATACCTACCCCTCTAAAAATATGAGTTCGTCAGTTGGGGTGATGATTATTCCCAATATATGGAAAGTCATAAATTCCATGGTTCCAAACCACCAACCAGATTAACGTTAATTTACCTATTAAAGATGATTGCTGAAACCATTGCCAACTGCTGGGTTACCAAAGGCTATTTTACGCCCCATGAACTCCCATGAAAATCATATGTCTTGATGGTTCAACCACCATTTCTACCCTCTGGTAAACTTACAAAAAACTATGGAAAATCACCATTTTTAATGGGTAAATCCACTATTTCTATGGCCATTTTCAATAGCTTTTTGTATGTTTTCCAGGCCGGGTATCCCCCATTTGGATCCAGGATCCACCAGGTTTTCACCGCGTGTGATGGCCATCCCCTTGGAGCCCCTGCTTTCCCAGGCAATGAAGGCTAAGCCCTTGGCCGGTGCCAACGGCTGCGTGGTTTTGATGGAAGAAAATCAGGGATAGAGTAAGGCTGCAACCGATAAAAGTATGTATGTATGTAGGTAGGTAGGTAGGTATGTATGGATGCGATGCGATGCGATGCGATGCGATGCGATGTGATATATATATATATAAATATATATCTAGTATATGTACAGAATTCTATATATATATAATACACAGTCACATAATGAATAATGTAAATTTCAAGAATTTCTGTTTAGGGACCACATCTGGGTGGGCCAAATGCTTAGGGTTTCCATGGGCTGCGTCCAACAAGAGCCAGGAAGAAAACACCGTGCCCTGGGGAGCGTGCGCTGGAGCAGAAATCCCACCCACCGGTAATTTGTTACATAGCGAACTGGAAAATCACCATTTTTAAGTTCGGTAAATCAACTATTTCTATGGTCATTTTCCAGTTCGCTATGTGAAATTCCCAGGGGGTACCGGGTTTCTACCAGTTCCTGGTTTCCAAAATACGATCCGGATCCTCGAAATTGGATCGTACAAGGTGGTGCCCCCCCCTTTCTCTCTCGATTGGATACTGGTTGGTGGTATACCTACCCCTCTGAAAAATATGAGTTCATCAGTTGGGATGATGACATTCCCAATATATGGAAAAATAAAACATGTTCCAACCCACCAACCAAATTAACTATAGATATCTATAGATTAACTGCAAATATATCCACCTTCTCTCTCGATTTTTGTTAACATCAGTTACTCATTGACTAATAATTATTGACTGTACATAAGATACTCTACCATAGTTGGCCGTAATCAGTTTTGCCAAAAAAACGAACTTTGCTAACGAAAGGGCACCACCTTGTATTCACCTTGGCCTATGAACCTCAGCGAAGCAGCCCCGATGCAATTGCCACATCCATTGGGATCATTGATCAATTGAATGGTGATGCATTGCCATAGTGTGATCAATACCATAATGTGGATCAATAATGGACCATAATAGTAATTCAATGGTATTGGTAATGGATCACAAAAAAAAAACTGAATGATCACTAGAGTAATTGCATTCAAATCATTCAGCATCAGGATTCATGTGCCATCATTTTTCTTGGAAAACTCCATTCGTAGCTCCACCTGGTTGCTTCTTTTTTGTTGGGAATATCGATGCCCATATTTCTGAACTGCTCCCTCCTAACAAACCCTGATAATCGTGGTGACTTCACAACAAGTTGGGCTTGGGTGAAAACTCTTCCAAAATAAAACGTCGCAAATAACCCAGGTTCTATCCCTACGGTTCATTTGCCAGCCGTTTTCTCTTTGGCGATCCGCCAAAAGGTGGTCCATGACAAGACACAGCGGATCCATAAAACACGATGGAGGGCAGGGATAAAATGGGCTGCTGCGCCAGCCCTCGGATGGCTGATCAAGGCCGTTGGACCAGCATGATGTGGTACCAACGCCATTGGTACCATCCCCAAATATCACCAGAAATACCATCTGGTTATGACTAACATAGCCATGGAAAATCCCAACCATAAATGGAGGTATCTAGCTGGGAAAATCATCTATAATAAATGGGCCATTTTCCATGGCTATGTTAAATAACCAGAAGTAGATTGTATGAACCATCCCAAAAACGGTTGTTCTTATTGGGTTTACCACATTACCTGTATTGTGCTGGTCAACTGGTCAACAAACCCAGTAACTGCATAGCCCATTCGAATTATCAACAACCAACCATCACTTCGGTTACTGTACATCCAGTGCTTGTTGGGTTTCAACCTGGGACTGGTGCATCATGCAAGGCAAAGCCTGGAACCCTTACTGCCGTGAGGTTACACTGCTGCGTTATCCAGCTGTTGCTGATGCTGCCTATCATCAACTGGTTGTCACAAAGTCAAACCACATCCAGCTTGTCATGGTTCATCATAGCCCATAAAATCCTATAATTATATATAACTATATATAGTTATATATAATTACATATAATTATATGAGGGTTTCTTCAAATGGAGGATCCCCAAAACCATGGGTTCAGAGTACTGAAGAGTCTCCAATTTTGGATGATTTGGGGCTACCCCAAAATTAGGAAAGCAGCATATATATATATATACATAGATCCTAGCCCGAGCTTTCATACCCATCCCATCCCATCTTCACAAGAGTGGCACCTTCCCAGAATTCGTAGCGGAAACGAATAGGAACATCCCATTCATGCATTCAATATTCCATGTTAAAGCAGTTTGAAATCAATGGTTTCCTGTAGATTCTGCAATGTTGTCCCAGAACAAAAAACACAGGATACACCTGCCTCCACAACTTCAAGACACGTCAAGCCAAGAGACAAAAACCCAAGTAGATGTCTCCGAACATTAAGCCCTGGTTGGTTTCACATGGTTTCGCCCCATCCCCAATGTGACAAGGTCTACGGTAGAACTCAAGGGGTAATCCGCGAGTTATGGATTCATGGCGTCCATGGGAATCCCAAGAAACAGTTTTTTTTTCCAAGAGCATGTCTTGTCGGCTTTGAAACGACTCACATACATAGCATCATGTAGCGCATTATATATATACATAACTCTATAACTCTATAACTCTATAACTATATAACTATATAACTATAAGTATAGTATATAACTATATATATATATATATCATATGCATAGATGCATATAGCCCATTTCATGGCAAACACACCGCCATAGAACAGAGATCCCATGGATTCCCTGAGTGGATTTCAGCAAGTCCAGGATCATCAGTTCCCACATATAATCTATAGGAAAATCCATGGGAAGTGGCCCCAAATAAATCCTGGGAAGTTCGTGGATTCTTCCAAAAAAAAAGGCTGGCCCCATGATTTTCCTATGATTGTGCTACCATATTATTGGTCATATTGGCCAATCACCACCCCAAAAACAAGAGAAAAACACTATAGTTTTTGTTTCAATGATTTTCCATCATATTCAGCAAATTCAGGTTAAGTGCTTAACAGCATAGATGATGGGAAACACTAGGAAATAGATCAGGGTTCACACCATAGTACTTCACCTATACATCTGGCTAACTTGTATATAATATTCACTAATCTGAAATAGGGTAATATTAGACAATTCCCTTACTAATCATCATTCCAGTGAGGTCCTTACAATTTATCCAGATCATTAATCTGCATACATCCCTCATATTCAATTTGGAGAGTACCCAAAAAATCACCAAATGTAGGTACAGAATGGTACACGATACGATACATGGAGCATCTGTCAATTGATTGGTTTGTTGGGGAAAATCTTAACCGGAAACCATAGACTTTCCCATGTAATTTTTCCCCTGAAAACCAATCCATTGAATCTGGCAGTCGAGTCGCAGCCGCCACCAGCAGGCAGTTGTCCACTGCGGCATTGGCGCGAAAGATCTGGCGGAGATCAAGGGGAAGATCACCGAAGCCATGGGGTTAAGCAACATGGATACGGATAATTCAATGGGATTACCCTCTGGAAAACTAACATAGCTATTGAAAATGGCCATAGAAATAGTTGATTTACCCATTAAACATGGTGAATTTCCGTAGTTATGTTTGTTTACCAGAGGGTAAATAATCGCATTCATATGGATGAAATGGATGAATGAGATTTAACTATGCAAACTGAAGTAAACTAGTTGGTTTGATTTTACTCATATATAACTGAGGTGGTGCATCATACTTAGCCAACTTGGTTTATAAGTAGACAGTAGATATCTCCATTCTTTTTGTGGGATGTATAAACCAACTTTTCTGAAGGTTTCGGATCAATAAACGGAAGCTTTGCTTTTCCTCTGTCTGGATAGATAGATTGGTTCAGTGGAACGTCACGTGGTCATTTTGGAAAATCATATACGTGGAAACTGTTGAGAGTTGTCCTCAAACACGATGGGACATCAAATGCATCAAATGCCCGGTGCTATACAGCATGTCTTCGCTCTTATAATAGGTTTGAACGTTTGAACACCCTCTGTGTGTGTGGTGGATACTTGCCGCAAACCATGCGATCACCGATGGCTTTCCGCACAACTTCTGAACAAAAACATCCAAATGATCAACAGGAGGGGTTAACATGAATCCGGGGTTGACATTACATTTACCCTGTGGCCCTGTGGATTTTAACAAAAAAAACTACCATATCACCCATATATATATATATTTATATGGTAAATTATGTTATATAGATATAGGCAAATTATCATAAATTATCTACCTATATCTTCCACGGCCGTTTTCCATGGAAAACTGTCAGCTCACCAGGGGGTAAACCAGGTAACCATGGTAAGTTCATTGATGTTCCCAGCTATCAACCTCCATGGCTAGGTTGCTAATTTCTCAGCGCTCCGCCATGTTTCATGACACCGAAGAAGGGCAATATCCCATCAATTACATCATTGAGTTCCGTTCATATCCGATTCATATCCCGTTCATATACCCTGAATCTCCAAAATTGCCCTAAAAAATTCAAATCCCATTGATATCCCCATGAAAATCATGAAATACAACCCATTTTTGTTGGTCAAATTCCATCCAACAAAAACCATCAAAAACCCACAGGGTAAGCCCAAAACCACTCCCCCGACGTCGCAAGGCCTTCACCAACTGGTTCTCCGGCGCTGAATCCACAGCTGGCCGTAGCAAGCTCAGGCCGCGCGCCACGGCGTAGTCGAAGAGGTACTGAAAACCGCTGGGAAAACCACTGGAAAATTCCATGGGACGATGGAAAACACATGGAAAACCCATGGAAAACACATGGAAAACCCTGGAAAATCCATGGAAAAGCCAAAGAAAAGCCATGGAAAAGCCATGGATTTCATTGGACATTTTGAAGTGAGATTTTTGGACATTTTGGGATTTTGGGATCTTGGGCTTGAAGCAGAGCTGAATCAATGGCCGCAGGAGCATGTGAGTTGAACCGGGGAAAAGCTTAACGAAGCCCTTTACTAAGGCCCTGGTGGACAAACCATCTCTGTTTAACTCAGTTTCATGTCATCCAATTCGTGTCTTTAATCATCAATAAAACGTTTTAGTCTTCTCGAATCCGAACCGAATTTTCTGGGCTTTTGTTTTCAATCTCTCTGAAGAGATTTTAGCAAATTCGATCATCCCAGTAAAGAACAAGAGACGATTGAGATCAGCAACCAGATTCCACGAAAAAAATGTGCGGCACTACGACGAGTGAACTTCTCCTCCATGTCCCAGAATGAATCTGCCGCCATGGCGGCACCCCAAGGCCCTTGCTATCTGAGTCAACAACTATTTGTCTTTTTTTTCAGCAGAAGGTCTGAGATGAATTTTGAAGATGGACACGCATGATGCAGTCACTGGCTTCAGAGATATGATATAACTACACTCCTCAGAAAGCTGCAGGCGCAGGCACAGTCAATCAAAACACTACCTACTTTGACCACTTATCATATTCAGCAAGGATGTCATATATCTTGTTGTCTTTCAGGAAGGTGTGTTGATTTTAACGTGTGGTGGCTACATATGGCTACCTTCGAGTTACAGGAGCATGAGACAGCAGCTGCGCAGACCCGGGGCTTCAAGATTCAGAACTTGGATGATCCAATCAATTGGTGGTAAAGCCAATAATTTAACATAGATATGGAAAATCACCATTTTTAATGGGAAAATCCACTATAAATGGCCATTTTCAATAGCTATGTTAGTTTACCAGAGGGTAAAGCCAATAATAAACCATCCCAATTCCAGAAATGGGCGGCACCATAGGCCATCTCAATGGATTATGTGTCTTTCTTTACCACCTCATGGGAAAACCAATTCGTAGCTCTTTAGCTCCTGCAAAATAGGGAAAATGAATACCTATAGTTTCTCAGTTCCCTCTTAACCACTGGATAGCCATGTCATGCATGAAATCAGCATGTGGAGCTCTTCAAAAAATGAGCTCCAACCACTTACCGACTTGCCTTAGAGCGAGTCCACAAATGCTTGAGCCAAGTGCTTCGGGCGTTTGTTCCTCCGAAACGCTGGTTTTTGTTATCCCCGCTTTGATGTTGGATCTGCTTATATTTTGGGGTCCCTTATTTTGTTGAATCCAAATTGCTTAGAGACTTACTCTACTGTTACTGTATCTATTTATATCCGTATTTATCTAATATTAGTTATTCGAAAAAGAAAACTATTTATTCATTTCTCATCATTCCAATTAACATGATTGTTGTTGATATTATGTTTGTCCGTCAAAACTCCACCATGACCAACATCTTTGCAGATTCTTTGCAGACTCCGAGAAACTCGACCATTGCTCGCCCGTCGTCATCTTCAACCCCGGCAGGCTCCTGCGAGTCTGCCGGAGGCTAGGTATGTCACACGTAGCTGGCTGGGAAATGCCGAATAGGGAAAACACTGGAAAATCAACTGTAAAACTGTAATAGTGGAGGTTTATACTTGGAAAACCATCAGAATCTATAAATACGCAATTTACCAGCAAGCCTCGTGAAAATATAATTGCCAAGAAAAAACGCGTTTAGAAATAGTCACTTTGGATTGATTCCAAACTAGGTCCAGAACCTTTCCATTTTTTGGTGGAAAATCATGATCAATCAAAAAGAATTACTGTGTTTTACGGCTACGCCACTTTCAGACAATTCAAAACTTTGATGCTTCTACTCATACTACATACTGTATCATGTACACTCATGTGGGTGCTTTCAACAAAATACCCCAAATCATCCACCATTAGATTACTCTAGCACTGAGTCGCGCATGGGTTTCTGCCGCCATTTGGGGACCAACGATAGTGTTTTAGGATGGTCAATGCCGGGGAGTGCTGTTGATTTCATTAATCTTTGAAGCTCAAGTTTCATGCTTTGAAGATTTTAGCCCCTCCGTTTTGATCCGTTTTGCTGGTTTAGACATGTTTAGTCCTGGACAATTTCTTGATGAATTAGACCCAAGTGCTTGATGATTGAAACCCATGTGCTCATACTTTTCGAAATATGAGCGACTTTCTCTCTCTGCGTCGCCTTCTCGAAGAGTTTAGCTTGATTTGAACCGAGTCTTATGATGTGTTTTGTAGTCACAACATATCCATTCATATCCTGTAGTTTCATGGGACACGGCTCAAAGTTCCAGGGCACACCCTGCCCTCCAGCGCCCATCACCGTCCTTCCCCCAGTCTGCCACATTTTGGGCCCACGAACGGAACATGTCCAGGCGTTTCAACCACTCCTGCGGAAGCTGATGACCACAGTTATCCCATATGATTTTCCAGTGATTCTACTAGTTTTTACGGCCACCTGGAGGTTTCCTACAATGGGGCTACCCCAATAGCTGGATGACTTATAAGGGAAAATCCCATTAAAATGGATGAGAACTGGGGGTACCCCCTATAGGAAACCTCCACCTTTAGATGACTGCAGCTTTCAACTTCCAACCCTGGATTGATAAACTCTGGTTGGGTACATATTCTGCTGTTTTTCCGCTCACGGCCTTAGAACGTTTCCAATATCGAACGCATGGGAAGACATTCATGGGCATAAACGTTCTCCTACAGTTCTGAAAGCTGATCTTGCACTGCGGAGCTGTCACCACCACAATCGGGAAGGCCCCAGGTGACCACAGATCCATCTGCCAGGATTGCAGCAAAAGCGTCGCCGGTGCCCTGGACCTGCTGCACATTGCTCAGCTGGTCTTGCACTGCAGAGCTGTCACCACCAGAATCGGGACTGCCCCAGGTGACCACAGATCCATCTGCCAGGATTGCAGCAAAAGCGCGGCCTGTGCCCTGGACCTGCTGCACATTCCTCAGCTGGTCTTGCACCGCAGAGCTGTCACCACCATGCTCGGCACTGCCCCAGGTGACCACAGATCCATCTGCCAGGATTGCAGCAAAAGCGCCGCCTGTGCCCTGGACCTGCTGCACATTCCTCAGCTGGTCTTGCACCGCAGAGCTGTCACCACCTTGCTCGGCACTGCCCCAGGTGACCACAGATCCATCTGCCAGGATTGCAGCAAAAGCGCCGCCTGTGCCCTGGACCTGCTGCACATTCCTCAGCTGGTCTTGCACTGCAGAGCTATCACCACCACCATCGGCACTGCCCCAGGTGACCACAGATCCATCTGCCAGGATTGCAGCAAAAGCGCGGCCTGTGCGCTGGACCTGCTGCACATTCCTCAGCTGGTCTTGCACTGCAGAGCTGTCACCACCACCATCGGCATTGCCCCAGGTGACCACAGATCCATCTGCCAGGATTGCAGCAAAAGCGCGGCCTGTGCCCTGGACCTGCTGCACATTCCTCAGCTGGTCTTGCACTGTGGAGCTGTCACCACCACAATCGGGACGGCCCCAGGTGACCACAGATCCATCTGCCAGGATTGCAGCAAATGCGAGTGTAGTGCCCTGGACCTGCTGCACATTCCTCAGCTGGTCTTGCACTGCGGAGCTGTCACCACCACAATCGGGACGGCCCCAGGTGACCACAGATCCATCTGCCAGGATTGCAGCAAAAGCGAGTGCAGCGCCCTGGACCTGCTGCACATTCCTCAGCTGGTCTTGCACTGCAGAGCTGTCACCACCAATATCGGCACTGCCCCAGGTGACTATCCTGTTGCCACCAAAGCACCACAATGCAAAAGCACCGCTAGATCGTATCTTTTTTGTTGCTGCCACCTTTCCTTTGATTGCAAGAGCAGTGAGGCAGTCTTTCTCATCGAGCCGAGCATCCAAGAGTGATTGAGCAGGGTCAAACAAAATGCGCCCGTCAGCAGTGACAAGCCTCAGCAATCCTTGTTGAAACCTCTTCTGGGCCAAAATCTTCAAGTC